GTAGCAACTCTCAGTTCTTGGCACCCACCTTCTCTTTTCTGTGAGTGGTGTATTCCCCTAGATGTCCTCTGCCATCTGACATTGGGTGCCAATTCTGCCCCGACCGGTGGGGCAGTCAACGACGCACTGGGAAACACCTAGGGGAATCGAAGAACAAGGGATACAAAAAAGGATGACAGCAAGACAGTATTCTGAACAAGCTGCCAAATTTTATTTTCTCAGTGGAGGCTTATAGTGGAGGATCATAGGCAGGATGTGAGCAGGGTTTGCAAGGGGGTGGGATGAAAGGGTCAGTAGAAGGAATGCCCTGAACTACTCTTTAATTGTCTATAAAACTGTAGCAGGAGGAATATCCTGAGCTATTCTTTAACTAGTTGTAAAACTGCAAGCCTGTATCTAGGAATGCTCTGCTGAGCATTCTGCTTACTTCTTAATAGGCAGTAATTTTCTATCTCAGAGGCCTAAGGTTGTGATGATGGTGATTGTCTCCAACAGACCTGAAGGTGGCTATCCATGCTGCCAGCTAATAAGACTCTGTTACTCTCTAATTCAGGTAAAATTTTATTCTTTTCAAGAATTCTGATGCTTTTGAAGACTGTTAGTTTTGTCAGGTTAAAGCAGCAACCAAGGTTCAACTGTTACAAAGTAGATTTCAAAAACGGGTATTTTAAGGTCGCTACTGATTATACTCTGAACATTAATCAATAAAGTTTTAATGAGCTACTAATACAATTCTAAAAGAGTACTATATACCATACTATGCCATTATATGATCATAACTGTAACTATAAGCTCAAAATTAAGGTACTTTTCATTGTGCTAAAGGTCTGTCATTTGTATGTGTTAATTCTTTCAGCCAAATCATTTCTAACATGTGTATGCTGTTAATGTGTCTTAATATTTATGTTTTCACAAACTGAAAGGATTCTTGTAAGTTTCAAGGAGCCAAATTGGACCCATCCAAATAGGTCAGATTCACTACAAACAAATACTCAACCATATTCAACCTTTCCCTGTTCCAAGGACTCCCCTCACCCTGGAAACCCCTCCCTCATCTTACAATTCTTCCCTCAAGTACCAGGACCTAAGTACGTTTTTTTTTTTTTTTTTTTTTTTTTTTTTCCTAAACTTAACCTTGTCCTCTGCTCTATCAACAACTTGCCAGGTCTCAAAGAGATGCCAGAGTTCCATACTGTCAGGACTGCAATGAGACAACAATCTACCAGGACGTGGAAGCACCCCAGCTTTCTCAGCTCTTCCAAAGACAATTACCACCCCAGGTCAGCAGGAAGCAGTCTTGAGAACTCGACATCCTTATTCCCTAACCTTCCACACATAAACCCCCCACATTTTTAATAATAATAAAAGGTGGGGATGTTGGTGACTAGCAGTCTGCTGACCTGCCACCACTGATAGATGGGATGCTCCTGGCCGTGTCATCTCTACTTCTCCATTATCTGGTTGCTCACATGTTACCTGGTTGCACAGGGGACTCAATTACACATGTACAAGTTTCCCTTTTAAAGCAAGTGTGCCAAGCATGTCCCGCTCTCTTTCTCTCTCTTCCATTCTTCTTCTCTCTCTTTGTTTCTTTTGCTTTCCTTTCTCTCTCTCTCGTGATTTCAGTTGGCTACCAGCTACCACCTCTTCTCTCCTCTCACATTCAATAAATTCTACAAAGGCGCTGAGTCTCGTGTTTGTGTTTCATAGGCGAAAATTGTAACAACAGAACACCTCTTATACATCTTGACTCTCCTGCTACCTCCTCCTGGAAACCTCCTTGTCTCCTAGTTCTGCCTATCTTGCTTTCCTATTGGGCAACAGGGATTTATTCAGTAACCTATAAGAGAAACATATTTACAAAATGACATCTCACATCAAACATGTTATTACTCAAATGGGCTCAACAGACATCTATAGAACATTCTACCCAAACACAAAAGGATATGTTGTCTTCTCAGCACCCCATGAGACATTCTCTAAAATTGAACATATATTCAGTTACCAAGCAAATCTCAACAGATACAGAAAAATTGGAATAATCCTCTGTATCTTATTGGAGCACTCTAGTTTAAGTTATAAGTAAGCAACAACACAAATTCGGAAAGATACAAACTCATGGAAAATGAATAATATCCAATTTAATCACCCCTGTGTCAAGGAAGAAATGAAGTAAAAAATTAAAGATTTCCTTGAATTCAATGAAAATGAATGTACAACATACTCAAACATATGGAACATAATGAAATCAATGCTAAGAGGAAAGTTCATAGCACTAAAAGAACTCAGAGAAATCACACACTATGGAATTAACAAAAGACCTGAAAGCTCTAGAACAAAAAAACACAAACTCACACAGAAGAAGTAGATGACAGGAAATAATCAAATTTAGGGCTGAAATCAATAAAATAGAAACAAAGAGGAAAATACAAAGAATCAATAAAACAAAGACTTGGTTCTTTTAGAAGATCATCAAAATAGACAATCACTTATCCAAGCTAACCAAAAGGCAGAAAAAGAATATCCAATTAATAAATTCATAAATGAAAAGAGGGATATAACAACAGAATATGAGGAAATCCAGAGAATCATCAGGTTATACTTTGAAAACATGTACCCCACAAAATTGGAAATTGTAATAGAAATGGACAATTTTGTGGATAGGTACCCACATACCAAATTAAATCAATACACGATAAATAAATTAAACAGACTTATAATCCCTAAGGAAATAGAAGTGGTCATCAAAAGTTTCCAAAACAAACAAACAAATAAACAAAAAAGCCCAGGTCCGCATGGTCTCAGCACAAAATTTTACCAGACCTTCAAAGATTAGCTAATATCTATACTCCTAAAACTCTTCCATACAGTATCAACAGAAGGAACAATGCCAAACTCCTTTTATGAGGCTATAGTAATCCTGATATGCAAACCACACAAAGATTACAACTACATCCCCCCATGAACACTGATACAAAGTATTTAATAAAATACTAGTAAACCAAATCCAAGAACACATCAAAAAATCACACCATAACAAAGTAGGCTACATTCCAGAGATGCACAGTTGGTACAATGTACCAAAATCTGTCAATGTAATTCATCATATAAACAAACTGGAAGAAAAAAAGAAAAAAGAAAAAACATGATCTTCTCATAAGATACTGGAAACTCTTTTGACAAAATCTGAACATGCATCCTTTTATCATAAAAGCCCTGGAGAGATTAGAGATACAAAGAACATACCCAATATATAGCAATATATAGCAAGCCAACTGCCAACATCAAGCTAAAATTTGGAAAACTGAACGTGATTCCACTAAAATCAGGAACAAGAAAAGGTTGTTCACTCTGTCCTTATGTATTCAATATATATACTACTAGAAGTTCTACTTAGAACAATAATACAACAAAAGGAGATCAAGTGTTTACAAATTGGAAAGGAAGAAGTTAAAATATTGCTATTTGCAGATGTTGTGATGGTATACATAAGTGACACCAAAACTCTACCTGGGAACTCCTGCAGCTGACAAACACCTTTAGTAATGTGGCACGATATAAGATTACAAGATCAACTAAAAAAAAAAAAAAAAGTAGCCATCCTATATACAAACGATAAAGTATATGAGAAATAAATCAGAGAAATATCACCCTTTACAATAGCTACAAATATGCTCCTCCCCACTCTCCTTCCCCCTACCTCCTGTCCCTTCCTGCCTGTGCTTCCAATTTGCTCAGGAGTTCTTGTACCTTTCACCTTCTTCAAGGGAACATGTCTGTATCTCTTAGGGTCCTCCAATATCCTAACTTCTCTGGGGTTGTGGATTATAGGATGGTAAGCCTTTGCTCTATGTCTAATACCCTCTTATGAGTGAGAACATAGCATAGTTGTCTTTCTGTTTCTGGGTTACCTCACTCAGGATGGTTTCTTCTAGTTCCATCCATTTGCCTGTGAATTTCAAGATTTCATCCCCCCCTCCCCCAGTGAGTAGTACTCCAGGCGGTGGGAAGAAAAGATGAGGGATCAAGAAGATAGAGTAAAGGGAAAAATAGAGGAGAGCAAGAAAGGCTATGCCTTAATAGAGGGATCCATTATAGGTTTAAAGAGAAATCCAGCACTAGGGAAATGTCCAGCGATCCACAAGGATGGCCCCAACTAGCAATCTAAGCAATAGTGGAGAGGCTACCTTAAATGCCCTTCTCCTATTATGAGATTAATGACTACCTTAAATACCACCATAGAACCTTTACCCAGTAACTGATAAAAGAGAAGAAGAGACACAGATATTAAGCTGCAAGGAGCAAGATAAGGGAGTTGTTTAAATATGTGGAATATTCCAAGTATAAAATTTAGGTGATGGTTGTGGAATTACATGTCGGATATATTCAAAACAAAAATCAACTCATAGTTTTGTGTGCTATATGTTTAGTGCTTAATATGTTTCATCTGTAAAACATGTCATTTCACTTGTATTATGTGGCCATATGTTTATTTATCTTTTGGATTGGCAGTAGTGTATAGACATGGTGTAGTTGCAAAAGTATGTTTGTCATGTCATACATTCATATCTAGCTACAAAAATTAAAGTAGCATTTGCAATGCCATTACTATGATTTTATTGATTTGGAGTGAACCAGATATTTCACTGAGCAGAATATCTAGAAATCCTTGGTGTGTCTTTGTCTAGCTCTCTGTTTTTTATCTTTAACATAATCCTGTTTTGTTGAAGGCCAGTAACAATACTCCTATCTACAGAAATCAATGTTGAGGTAGTTGCAAACATAATCTTCATTTAGCTGCTGACTCTATAGATTAACAGTTTTATATATCAGAACATCTTCCCTTAGATGTTCTTTGAAGTACATAATCAGTTTACATTCTGTTTTGCAGTACAGTGTAATCAACTACATTTAAAGATCACAAGACATTGCTTCAATTGAATATTAACATTGCTTATCTATAGAACTAAATTTTTAAAAAAGAGAGAAATTACCCAGCTTTAATTTCCAGAAAAGTTACAGGAATGATGTTTAAAATCTTGAAAATTGTTGAAATCACATCCACAGATGGGACACAGATATTTCCAATTATTATTGTAGGCTATGATTACTAGCATCAATCAGTTTGTCATGATTTCTCAAATGATTCTCAAAACATTTTCTATGGACACCATTATGGGTTCGACACTGTGGCATGTAGAATCTTGATCTCACAGAAGGGTGGTTTCCATTGTTGCTTTTATAGGACTTACTAGTTTTTCTTGGAGTCATTCTTTCAAGAACTGGATGGTAGTAGTACACTCTCAAAGGTCTTCCCCAAACTGTATTCATTTTGATATTGTTGAGAACATTTGTATGTGCTGGAATGGCTACATAATTATGCTTTATCCACTTGTTATGTTGACAATGTTAAGACGGAGAGAAATATCTGCCACACATTAGGTGAATAAACATCCTATTTATCTCATCAATATTAGTGAATGGGACTTGCCACCACAGGAAATGAGAATGTAGCATTTTGTCATGTATGGAACTAAGAAAGTAATCATTTATTCTCATTTCCTTTTTTCCTTGGTAGAATTTTATTTTATCAGATAAGGGCTTGTTTTCATGAGTTTGTGGTTGTGGGATACTCAGATAATTCTAAACAATCTTAATCTAGGAAAGATAAGCTTTCTAGGAATAGGTTTCTGTAGTGGAAGAGAGTCTTCTATTACAACTTCATTTGATGGATCAGTTTGAGTCTTCTCTGCTTCAGAGTGGTAATTTTATGCTGCTTGGGGGATCTGTATCTCCTTGGTAACTTGATGAGCTTGGCTCCCTGCATGATACATTGGCTTCCACCTGAGAAATTATGTTGGCATCAGCAAGTGGAAGTTCTTTCTCTGCCTCACAGCCATTTGGTGCCTCAATTTCAGCATTTTTGACAGCATTTTCAGCTGGACCACTTCCTCTGTTAGTGGAAGACATGCTAGATACTATTTGGGGGAGGGGAGATATAAAGTTTCATTATCTTGAGGAATGTTTCAATTCTTAATAAATCAGTACTTTAGTCTTTCAGAAAGAATGTAGATGTGCTATTTCTATATTTGTTCATAACTCTAAACATTTTATCAGTATTTCACTCAGAAAATAAAATAAGCAAAACTTCAAATCATGGAATCAACTTTATCTCTTTTGAAGAATGTTTTTTCATTGCTTAGTTATAAAATTCATATAAACCTTTCTTGGGGATTGGATGGGTAATGGAATGGGAGTAGAATGGGAGGCATGGGGGGATGGGAGGGAGAGGGAACTGGGATGGTTATGTAAAATATGATTATTTCTAAATAAAGGAAGAAAAAAGGAAAGAAAAGAAAAAATCACATAAACTTTCAATAACATATTTTTTCCTTGGATTGTTAATGAATGTACTCCACATTTGAAACTTTGTGAGATTCTGTACAGAAAAAAAGGTACTTCTTTTTGGATGTCAAATATAATAGAATTTTCCTTGAATAAATTTCATGAAAATTATCTTTGGACTCTGGGCTGAGACAAGTATAAAAAGCCATTTCATAAATGGTAGTCAACAATCTCATCATCTTTGGAGCAGAAGCAGACACACACAGTTAATCACTGAGCTTACCTCCTAGAATCTAGTTGCAGAGAGGAAGAAGTGATGAGCAAAAGGGTCTAGAACAGGCTGGAGAAACCAACAGAAACAGCTGATTTGAACAAGGGGGATCATGGAACCCAGGCTAATTGTTGGGAAACCAGCATAAGACTGGCCCAGATGCCCTGATTGTGGGTCTCAGTTAGGAGGCCTGGGAAGTGTAGTTATCTCTAACAATGGTACCAGGATGTATCCATAGTGCAGGAACAGACTACAGGAGCTCATTCCCCATGAAGGGATGGATAACCCCTTATCCTAGAGAGATGGGGTGGGCCTGGGCCCTACCCCAAATGATTTGACAGAATTGATGATCCCTCATGGAACAGGCTCAACTTCCCTGGGGAGTGGATGGAGGATGAATTGTGGGGTCTGTGAGAGGAATGGGAGGATGGGAGGGAGAGGGAACTGAAATTGTTATCTAAAATAGGAAAAAAAGGCCATTTCATGTGGATATACCCTTGGAAGAAATTTAAGCATCTTTTTTGATTGATAAACAGAAAAATTTTGGATGTTTGTGATCAAATTTGAGCTATCTTTTCTGTAGAATTTTCCTTCCTATCTTTCCTCCATTTTCTCTACCCTTCCTTCCTTTCAAATTTTGTCTGCTCTTTTAAATTATATGTATACAGTATAATGTAAAAAATAAATAAATAAAAGGCAGTGAGAAAAGAAAAGTGGATAGAAAGGTGTTAAATCCAGATTCAGTGTTAATTGATTAAAAGCACTTTCAGATTCATCACTCACTTAACAATCACATTGCTTTAGTGTTGATTAAGCTGATAGTTACTACAGAGAAACATATGGTTGATAGTAACTAATTAAAATGTCCACTTGCTAATGTACCCTCTCCTTGCTTCTCTTATTCTAATGTCTTTCTTCCTGCCATTTACCTGCAGAAATATTTTCAGTGCTTTCTAAATTTCTAAACACTGTGTATCCAATTCTCCTATCTGAATTGAGTGAGAATAAATTCAGGTAGCAATTATTTTAGAGCAGAAAAACAGATACAGAAGTTGTTTATTTATTTAAAAAAATAACCTATTCTTTGAGAAACTCAAAAAAATAGAAAATGTGTTTAGATAACTTAGATCACTCTATTATCCCTCCAACTTCTTCCAGGCACTCCCAAGTCTCTTGCCCAATATGTGTATCATGTTCTTTGTTTAATTTATAGCCCACGGAGTCCAACTAATGCCACCTTTATGTATGTGCGCATATGACCACTTCTGGGTGAGCAACCTATGAGCAACTTTCATAGTACCAGGAGGTATTATAATTTGCTATAGGAGAATAATTATCAATAGTCTTATGCTGCTGACAGCCAAATGAGCCAAAATAATGACCAGTGTGACAAGATATGCCCGTTGATCCATTGTTGGTATTATTGCTATGGAGTTAATAAACAGCTTTCTAATTAGAACTCACACACATTACTATAAATCTAGCGAACAACTCATGGCTGGGGAGATTACATATTCTAGGGAGAATGTACTTTTATTTTGCTAAGCAGACTTATCAAAAATTACTTTCTAATGATTTTACATTTTATTTTTATACCTATAGATTACTACATCTTTCATCCTTCATCAAGAAATTTTCTTAATCTAGTAGACAGTGGTTAACACAGATTCATAAGTAGTCACAGTAAACAGTATAAGTGACTATGGACTATTCATCCCCAAGTGATTAATTTCATCTTATTCTCCCAACCACACTCAGTGTCTATCATAGTAGAAGTGGTACAAAGATAGCAAGAGCCAGAGTTTGGGGAGTACTTTTGTGACAAAGTGCTTTCTGTCTATTGTACTCATGAGCTCACAGCAGCTGTGGCTAGCTGTACAAAACATACACAAGAATGTAAGCCAGCCAACATTCACCTAGAGCCCCCACCCTCAGCCAAAACGTTTTGATTTGCTTTGATTAAAAAAAAAAAAACATTGATGGGGAAAGAAAAATATAAATAGTTTGATATCAGTTCCCTAGAAATTTAAGGAATTAACATGACTTCCGTTTCTTCTCATGTCAATCATTAATGACTATTCTAGATAAAATTTGTGGATAGGTTAGCAGTATTTTATGAACTGTTGCCTAATATTGGATTCCTGAGGAAAATCTATAACCTGATTTCTACTGCACTGATAAATTTCTCTCCTCTAATCTCTCAACAGGCACTAGGTTCATTAAAAGACTTGAGTATATACTGCATGAGCATTTTTCCTTCAACTTAATCCTTAATTCAATGTTTATGAGTGCTTGATATTAAGGAAAGAATGCATGTTTTTTTTTCTATCAAAAGCACTTCATATTATTTTGTAATTAACAAGTTTAATGATGTTCAATTTTATATTGTTTACTATACCATTTTACTTTAAGACCATGAAAAATACACTTATTCGTTTTATACAATATTTAAGAAATCTAAAAATTTATTTATATTCAGTGTGATTGTTTATTTCGATTATACTTCTTTCATCCTAATTTCTGACTTCCTTATTTATTATTGTGTTAGAGTACATGATAGATATAAATGAATTTGAACAAAAAGCACCTTCATGCTCCTTGTACTTCTTACTTAGGTATGCTACCTGGAGAGTTCAATCCTAATTCTCTAAAATAATCTTAGATATCTATTGTCCTGAATTTTCACCTTTTTCCAAACTCCACACGCATATATGTGGTAACCTGATAAACTTTGTAAAGTATTAGTTTTTTTCACATATAGAATTTAAAGAAAAAAATTACCAAAAATAACTTTACATTAATAGTTAAGATTATAATTAAGGTAAAGCAATAAGTAGAACCTATGTTTTAGGAAAAGTTTGAAATAATTAAACTCACCAGTTTGATGACAATAAGACCAAAAGCTTTTAATGAGGATGAAATCTGGAAATTGAGAGAGAACTTAAATTACTTGATTATCTATAGGTCTTGTCAGATAGATCCTTAAATCAAATAAAAATATTTTCATAAAACAGAACAAGAGTGAATTCCTAAAACTTTTTCCTGAGGATGATGCTTGTGCTAATTTGATATTTGGTAGGACCTTATATATTCAGTGGTAACTTTTAGATGCATTGCTCTTTTGAACTTCTTAAGTGACATATACATAAGAAAATAAGTTTTAATTGTTCATGTATTCAGAAATATGCAACAGGTGTTTATACTATTATACTATATTACCATAATTATCAAGAGACAATATGTTATATTCAAAGATTGTCTTATGGAAAGAAGTGACATCAAACATCATGTACTAAGGGATGATGTTAATAAAACAAACATCTTGGGGCTCTGATACTTCTGATTCTACATCAGCCATTCTACTCAGGCTATCTCCATTCTTTTTTCGACTCCCTGACATCTCCAGGTTGCATACCCACTCTTTTCCAGAAATCATACAACCACCACACTTAGCAAAGGTAAGCAGTCTGTACTCTACTTCTCCATTGTAGATTTTCTAGGATACTACTATACTGTCTATTGTTGTTCCTTAATCCCATCTTCCCAGCCTACAATCACACCTTTAGAATTCACTACTACACATGGTATGACACAGGATCACCATAGCTCTCTATGTATCAACCTACTCAGCAATATAATCCCGTTCCTCTCTAATCTTTGGGATTTTTCACTGATCATAGTCCTTCTTCCAGGAATCTCATAACTACCACACTTGGCAGCTATTTGGGTAAGCTAATTGTCCCTAATAGAAAGATTTACAGACAAAAACTAAACTGAGAAACCCTAGAGTTAAATAAAGTTTTAAATCAAATGGACTTAATACACATAGGTAAAACATTCCACACAAACCCTAAAGAATGTAATGACTTCTCAGCAGCCCAGGAAATTTCTTCAAAATTGATGCCATTTAGGTCAAATAGGAATTAATTACCAGATACAGCACAACTTAATTGGCACCTGGGATCCTACCTTACCACTATGAATAAAGGCAAAACCTGAATAGTGAGGAAGTACAAAAATTCAGAAGCTACATAAATCAGTAGTGAATGAAAACTAGCTCAATAAAGAAATTAAGATGAAAAATTAAAACTGTTTTATAAATAGAATGAGACTGAAAACACAACATTCCAAAATTTAAAGGTCATAGTGAAGGTAGTGCTAAGAGAAAAGTTCATTGTATGAACTATCCACATCAAAAACCAGGAGATATCTCTTAATAAATATTTCATGATGAAAATAAATATTTTACTAATAAGAAACTATACCTCCAAAGAGTAAATCTTGGACCTAAAATTATTGATGTAGATATATAAACATAAGTGAAAGGAAGAGTTGGTACTCAGAAAAAAAGCAA